TACTACTACTACTACTACTCCTACGCCTACTCCTACTCCTACTACTACTGCTACTGCTAGTACGGCTACTATTACTACCACCACTGCTACTAGTACTACTACCACTGCTACTACTACGACGGTTACGACTACGACTACTACTACTACTACTACTATTGTTATTATTACGACTACGACAAGTATTACTACTACTACTACTGCACATAATTTCTGCAAGTGCTGCGACAGCTACTAGTACTACGGTGACGACAGCCACCACCACGACTACTACTACTACTACTACTACGACTACTACTACGACTACTACTACTACTACTACTACCACGATTACGGCTAGTAGCACTGCGAGTACGATTACCACTACTATTGCTATTGCCACTACTATGACCACGACTACTACTACTACTACTACTACTACTACTACTACTACTACTACTGCTACTACTACCACTACGATTTCTACTACTACTACTACTACGACGATTGCTACTACTACTACTACTACTACTACTACTACTACTACTACTACTACTACTACGACTACTGCCATTACGGCTACTACTACTAGTATGCGTACTCCCACTATTACTGCTACGACCACTACTACAATTACTAAAATTGTAGTAGTGGTAGTAGTTGCCACCACGACGCGTTACCACTACTACTACTATTACCCTACCACTACTACTACTACTAGTACTACCACTACGATTGCTACGAATACTGTTACCCTTACGACTACCATTGCGGCGACTTTTATTTCTATTCCTGCAACTACCGTTGCTACGACTACGACCACTACGACCACCACGACCATCACTACGACGACTGCTACTACTATTATTGCCCTCGCTGTTGCAACTACTAAAACCACTACGACTACGACTACTGCGACAACTACTACTACTACTACCACTACTACTACTACCACTACTACTACTACTACTACTACTACTACTACTATTACTACTACTACTACTACTACTACTACTACTACTACTACTACGACGAGTACCACTACTACGGCATACCACGACTACTACTACGACTACTACTACGACTACTATTATTACTACTACTACTACTACTACTACTACTACTACTACTACTACTACTACTACTGCCATCACTACCATTGCCACCACCACC